GCACCTGTGGTGTAGTAGCTTCTTGCTCAGATAGTACTTCTTCTTGTTCTCCGCGATCCGGTGAGCTACATCACGAGATGCCAATTGTTATCGAATGGCTGCTGCCTCTAGAAATGTGTGACGATTGGTATCTTGTGATGTAGTTTACGGGATCGCGCAGAACAGGAAAAAGTACTATTTGAGCAGGAAGCTACTAGACCTACGGACGCAAATCTTACCCACCCGACCCAGTCCTACCGACAGGAGCAGACGGCCAATGTGGCTCGGTGAGATTGATGACGACCCGGTAATCCGTGAGACCCTAGCAGAAAAGTTAGAAGCAGCTTTACAAGAGATAGAGCAAGCCGATGCCGTCTGCAGCTGGGAATGGGCGTTGAAATTCACCGACAAGGTCTGCCATAATGAGTTCCGCTGAAGTGATGGTCGATTGCGGGAGTTAAAACATACCCTTCTTTTGTAAACCTTTTCAGCCGAATGATTAATTATTAGAGACCTATCCTTTATATCTCATTTCTTGACATCTCTTTCACCTCGTAATCCATCAACCCTTTTTAGTGTTAGCCAACTTAATTTTTTTATCATTCCGTCTGATACATGTACTTAAATCCTGATGGCCAGTATGCTCATGTCTCTTTTATGCCTTACTTGGTCGATGAAATGGAGTCGCCACTTCCTGCTGCAGGCGGCACCGTCATGATGACTCACTCTCAGTTCTTTTTTTCTACCCTGTAGTTTCAGCTAACTCCAAGTACCACCAACCCACGACGTGAGTCCAGTTGGTAAGATTTTTCTCTTTCGGTCGAGGAGCAGATGGTCATTTTTTCGGTCTTCTGTGATCCCGTATGCTATTGATTGGCAGTTCATTGTGGGGTCTGCAGAGGACGCTATTGCTTGCGATGCTGAGCCCAAAGAGCTAGACCGTAGAGGAGTTATAACCTCGGGGTGCACTGTGATAGCATCTTGGACGCAAACTCCAATCCTACGATTGGAGCAGATGAACCTACTATGCCTTTCTGATGCCACCCGGTGCCTGTCATTCTCCACGTTTCCTCATACTCCTCGGCACTCCCCACTCACGGCCACCTTTATCCCCTTGATCATAATACATACTTTTCTCTACAAGCTAGAAAAAAATCTGAAGTAGGGATAGCATTTTTCTACATCTATGTAGAAAAATCAACAACAGCAGAAGATTCTTTTGTCCAGGTATTTAAGAGCAGGCATGTTATTGATCCTAGCAGACCTTAGCTGAGCAAGATAAAAAAAGTCTTTGGAAATTTGAGGAAACTTGACTAAAACTGTTGATTGGGATGGTTCAGTCAAACAATTTTTTATCTCAAACAAAGTCTCATTCATGTACAAAAATGTCTCTCTCTCCCCACTGGGAGTCTCTGAAGAGTCTGGCCAAGCACAATTTTTCAGAGAGACGATTTCTTTGTAACTTTTGACTATCTCTTCAAACAAACAACTATGACGGTAGTGCTAAACAACAAAGCCGCTCGATTTTCCAACACATTTTTGTAGGATCATTCTATATGCATTGCAGACGAGGAAGGGAGAGTCCTTTTGTCTTTCCCCTCAATACCACCTTGTCTCTTTGTCAATGTCGATTTGATAGTTCAGAAGAGCCGGGAAACAAACAAACAAACAAAGCAAGGAACAAAATAAGAAGAAGGAAAAGATTGATCTAAAACAAGTGACCTTGCCAAAAAAAGAAAAGGAATTCAACCCCTTCTCTCTCCCCTGATACTTCCCACAAGGTTTACTGAATGAAACTCGGAACAATGATCACGAGACAATGTGATCCTTTCTGACGACGACGACCATCCAGAAGAAGAAGAGAGTGGCAATAAACAAGGAAGAAGAGTGGATAGTAACCGGGGAAAAGGAGAAGTTGTCATAGAGGAAAGAAAGACCATATATATAAGAAAGACTGAACCCGAAATAAAAAAAAGCCAAGTCCAGATCATAAAACAACAACAAAAAGTCGAGCACGGGTTTGATTTGAAGAGGAAGAAGAAAGCGGGACGACGCTATTTAGGAGGGGGCTGGAGCGAGATTGTTATTTTTTTCACCGTCCACCGGCGAGGAGGTCGGCCATACTAGAATGTCCGCCGACGGGTTCTCTGACCTTTCTAGAGGGCACGAAGCGGGAGCCGTCGGGCATCATGACGCGAGGCATGTCGTCCTCGACCTGAGGGACGGGTTCCTGTTGATGATGGTGATCATTATGGGTCGACGAGACAGGGGTCGTCGGGTCATGTTGGGAGATCGGCGGGGGCACCCAGTTCATCGCGTCGTTCTCCCTGTTGCCTCCTAGTAATGAAGCAATTTGCGAACTCCCTCCACCTACACGAAATCAATCAAAACCATAGAGATCTCGATCAGTATTTTTTTCTCTCTAAGATTGCTGCTCCAAATCTGAAGCTCAGTTTTTTTTAAAAAAAAAAAACTTATTCACCAGGTTGTTCGCGGACTTTGCGGGTTGGAATAAACGCCGGGAGGTCGGCTTGATCGGTGGATGGCGCATCCGAAACAGTCGATGCGGGGGGCTGAGCCTGCAAGTTATTCTCGCCCTCAGAGAGCACCCCGCACGTAGCGAATTTCGGCAATTTCTTGAGCTGGATCACATGATTCAATCAAACGATGCGAAGACATGTCAAAGAACTCATTTTCGACATGATCGTGTTTTTTTTTTTTTGGTGAAATAAAAATTGGCGAGCTGGTGATAGAGATATTGAGTTAATACCTGAGACATGTTCGGGTCGACTTCGAGATCCATAGTCTTCAAGAATCGGACTAAAGATTCCTTGGTGAAGACGATCGATGTAGTCCATGGCAACATACCTTACCGATCAGATGAGACAAAGTGCAATTATTGATTTTATAAGTGGATCAGTGATCTGATAGCTTGGATGTTGAGACTGTAAGCAGACCTACCGATCTCGGCTTGCCAGTCACGCTCGTTGGTTGAGAATTTAGTGGAGGGGGTGAATGTTTGAGACATGATAATGTTGTTGTGGTTGATGATGATGATGGTTGTTCTCGGTTTGGCTTGGTTTGATGAGCCTCATGAAGTCACGAGAATCGGGAGTGATGATTGGCCGAGGATGATGATCGGGCCAGGCGTCCAGTGGGCTGCCCAAGCCCGGCCAGGCTTGGGTTGGCCACAACAGCCACACTTTTCCTGAAATTTCCAGACTTCCAGTTCCAACCCATCAACACTCGAGCTTGTACAGCCTCTCCGTCGAACGCACGAAGTGCGGGAGAGGCTTGAGCCCAAAACAAACACGCTTGCGTGTCACGGTCAAGTTTTTTGGCTGTTTTTTGCGCCAAAAATCCTAGGAAATTCAGCTTGTAAATTTTTTGAAAACTGAGTTGAGGTGAAGATGCCCAGGTGGTCTTGACTTCCATCAAGAAATTTTTGAAAAAAATCAAAAACTACACAATTGAAGAATTTTTAAGGAAAATTTGCTAAATGAAAAGTTGGCTGAGCTTACATAAGCCTGTTTCAACCTCACTGCCTACCAGGTGAGATCATTTCCTCAATTTGACCAACTTGAAAAACATCCACCTCATCCAATTTCCAAGATAAAGCTCTGAAAATTGGATGAGGTGAGAGGCATCACCAATCTCTAAAACCTCATCTACTCAAATTCTAAATATCTGGTCATGTGCATGCTGTACATTCAGCTCAATGTGTGTTACACCAAAACTGCCAAACCATGACACGCGGGCATGTTTGCTTTTGTCCTAAGTCCCTCCTTCGGAGGCTTGCGCTTCGCGCGAGTGGCGTTCCACGCCAGCCAAGGCCACCAGGCCCTCCGAAGCGAGGGACTTTGATAAGTTCGATCAACACTGGTATTGGAGGACTTCCCGTCAACATCTGCGGGTCTCCCAGAGTTGGTTTAGAGCCACAAAATTCAAATTTCTCTGCAAGAATTAAGAGTTTTCGGGTCTAGATCAACTTCTGTGAGGGTCCCAGATCCGACGGGAAGTCCTCCATTTACTGTTGCTGATTTGATGTTATGATTCGTCTTCAAGATCTGGGGCGCTCACTAATGTTGTCAATTTAGACCTAAAGACTAGATTCCTGGAGGGAAATGGATGACTTCCCATCAACATCTGCGGGTCTCCCTCTGCAGACCAGCTTGGTGGGAATCAAACACAACTTGATTCCCTTCTTTATCTGAGTTTGCCCGGGTCATACTCATGATCCCACTGACATTAGTGGCATCTGAGTCTGCCTTTTCTACTGGCAGTTGGGCTCTAAATGATGACCACATGAGCCTCAGCAACAAATCAGCTGAAATTTTGTTATGCACTCAGCAAGTTACTCCAGTCTATATCTATTCATTACAAATACTGCAATAAAAACACAAAGTTGTCTGCCTCCTTGTGCTGGCAGCCCGTGCACAGCCCATCTGCCAAAGCCCGGCCTGGCCTTGGCTGAATCTGGTCTGGCCTGGCCAGCCTACTAAGATTGCAGGTCCTAGAGGGTCAACCCACAGGCGTCCCAAGCCTGCCTGTTTTCCATCCTTAAGACTGCAAGAATCTAAAGCTTTTCAGTCTAGATCAACTTCTGCAAGGGCTCCAGTTTGGACAGAAAGTGGATGACTTCATGTCAACATCTGCGGGTCTCCCAGTTTTGAGTTAGAGTTGCAAAAGCTAGATTTCCCTGCAAAAATTTAAACTTTCTGGGTCTAAATCACAAACTGTGAGGGGCCCAGATCAGACGTGAATTCCTCCAGTCCTCAACTGTTCATCAAAACATGTGGGTCCCCTAAAAGCAATTTAGAGCTTTGAAATCTAGATTTCCCTGAAAACTTCTGTTTTTTTTGCATCCAATCCAACATCTGAGAGCGCTTTGAATATGATGGGAAGTCCCCCAGCCATCCACTTGCTGAACTGAACGTCTACTACAGAGGTTCTAAACTGGCATTTGTTGACTTACACAATCAGTATTGTGTTATATGGTGTTGCAAGCCAGTCTGGACACACACCCAAGTTTGGCCAGGCATGCTGGTCCAATCCCAAAGCCGCTTGGCCAGCTGTAAAGGGTGTGTGGCACCCTCCCACCCCCCCCGCTTGGCACATGCCAAAATTGGCAGGGGTCGGTGTTGGAATTTCACTTAATCTTGTTCTCCCTCCTTTTTCTTTATCTGTCACCAACCTATCACTCATTGTTTAGCCATCCACCTTTTATTTTGACTGTTCCATTTATTCTTATTCATCATGCATCAATTGCTGCTCCCAAAACTTGATCATCTTTGTGTCTAGACTATTTAAAGAACTCTAGAAAGTTTAGGAATAAAATGATCAGTTCTTGCTTTAAATTGATCCTGAGGTGACACTTAAGCCTCCCTCAGTCTTATCTCAAGAGCACTTCAGCCCTCTCAAGTTCACAAGCTGCTTTCCAGGCATTTTCTGCTATCAGCTCAAGCTGACTCTCCCCCTCATTGCTCTAAATTCTAACAGTCAGAGCAAAGCCTTGCTTGACCAATGATAATATCAAGTGAGGGTGCCACAACTGCCAAAATTTGACGTGCCCCATAACTCAAGGGGTGCATCAACCTGCTGTTGCCCTTCTGTTTCTGGTACTAAGGGTAAGAAAACCACTGAACATTGCCCAGATATTTCTTTCTTTCTTGTTTCACCACACAATGTTCTATCTCCTTGTTCCACACCGCTCTTGACTCTATACATGTACATTATATTTTCTCTTGTCTTTTTTTCTCTCCATGAGAAAGTAAACTATTCAACTCATGCTAAGGAAAGATAAACATGCTTCAAAAGGAAGAGATGACAATGATGGTGAACTAAGGAAAGATGAGAGTTAACAAGTGAGAACAAGTTTGGGCAGGCAGACAATATAGTGTTTGGTTTATGGTCTTGCTCAGATTGAAACAGAGTATGTCAGGAAGATCTTCTTGTAAAGAAGAAAATGAAGAAAATAAACTGGCCAAATTTGCAAAAGAAAACCTGCTTGAAGTTGATGGTGGAGTTGTTGATGATCCTATGTGATCCTCTTGGACAACAGCTGCGTGGCTGTGTGCCAACTCCTGACCCCCCCCCCCAACCTGCATGATCAAGCCAGCACTGGGCCACTACACTTTTTGCCCAAAAATAATTTGTGTAGCGGTTTTTTTTTGTGCACCAAAATTGTGTAATACTTGTTAGCAAAAAGTTAGTGGCTTTTTGCTAGACTATGCTGCGCTACGGACTGCTAAAGGCTGCTACAGGGCCAAAATGCCGCTAACCAGCACGTCAGCGCAGAATAACGGGCACTTTTCAAGGGCCTGCATGCGTAGTGTTAGCATGGACGTGGTGGAATTCCGCTATGCTACGCTAACGTTTAGGAAATTCTGCTATATTACGCTGCACTAACCGCTACGGTTAGCGTAGCTGGCCCAGCGTTGATCAAGCCCTCTGGGCACAATCCAAACCCCTGGTGTCACTTGGCCAAGTAGGACTTTGAATTGTGCCCAGATGCGCTTGCAAGACCATACAATGCTGAAAATTGGCCTTATGACATGAAAACAGGGGAGATCAAAGATACAGTTTGAATTTCAGCAGTTGAATTAATTCTGTTAGGTCTTGATGGCTGTACCAAGTAGAATTCACATCAAATGGCTTTAAGATCTGTTGTGAAACATGAAAGGAGACAAGAAATTATTTAGTACTGTGAACTTTAATTTGTCTGACAGAAACCATTGGACTTTGCACAAAGAGATTTGGAGTGTCCCACTCACCCTCCTTGCTTTTAAAGAGTAAAATAACATCAACCTCTTGGTAGCAAACATGGAAATTTTCTGGAAATATGGACCACTGATATTGCTTCAGATTGACTCCATCTCAGCAATCACCAAACATGGGCTTGACTTTATTCCAGATTCAGCTTCAGATTTGGAAGAAAGCAAGACCAGTGTGACTGAGACAGGTCTTGAAAACAAAGGTAAAATTGTTTCCACATGCCTCTTACCAGCATCCCAAACCCAGTTATAACTGATTAGTTTTGTTACACTAAATATCCCATCACTTATTTTTGAGATAGTACCCAAGAAAGAGCCAAAAACATGTGGTAGGTTGATTGCTTTTGTTGATGAATATGTTCCTGAAGGTAATGGATTTTTGATTGAAATCTGAATGGTATATTTTTTGAATGATATATTGTAAACTTTCAGACATGAATTTTGATGAGGAAAGAAATCAACCTTTTTATCTTGTACAGCCTGCCTCCAAACACAGATCACAAAGTCCATCTTCCAACTTCCAAAAAGAAAAAATTGGATCCCAATTTATCCTTAGGTCTCTCCACTCAAATTAAAACTGAATCTACCACTCATGAGCTGCCATTTTCATCAAGTTCCCCATCTGAAATATTCTATCTCATAAGTAAGTCAACCCATGTGTTATGTTTTAAATAGAAGTGTTATGAATATCTATATCCAAAATCAATGTATGACCAACTGATTGTTGAATTTATGAAATTGGCTTGGTATTGGTAAAGACTCATAAAATTGAATCAGTGAATTTTCTGTGAATGCAGATCAACTAGCACAAAAACAAACCCAAGGAGGCTCCATCCCTGTGATTGGAAAAGCTTTTTTTGGTATGCATAATCCTGGGGAAAAAAAACAGCCATGATGATATAGGTCCTACATTCAACCAGTCTTCTGTGAATATGGATCATCTAGTGGAAGAAAGTGACCAAGAAGTTTTGCCTTATTTAAACTAAATTTCTACCCATGTGGCTCATTTGGTGACAAAAGGCAGACAAGAATTTTCAATTATTCCATATCATGATAAAGGTTGTGCAGTGACAATTCCTGGGGAAGCATGCAACCAAAAAAAAAGGATTCAGAAAGATTGAAGCTGAAGTTGGAGAAAAATGTGATGAAGATATGAAAATCAACTCACATACTGATCATAATGTAAATTTAGCAACCACAAGTTTCCAAGATAAGCTTTGGGATCTCAGCAGTGATGATAGTCCAGTCAAATCACATGGAATAAAAACCATAGTATCTCCAATCAAAGGTGCCAATCCACAGCTAGAGGTCTGCAAATTGTGGGCTTCAGTTTCAGTCATTTGGAGTCAACTGGATTACTCACAGCATAAAGAGCTCAAAATGATTGCAGATGGTTCAGTGGAAAATTTATTACGGAATTATCTTCCCAGAAATATAAAATTGAATGGTGAGATGAACACATCAAAGACACCTTTTGGTGAACATTTTGAGTCAAAAAATAGATTAAAAGAATTTGTCATTAGCTTGTTGACTGTAAATTTACAAATATTAAAACATTTGGGTGGCCAGAATCCAAGATTTGCTTACCTTGAAGAACAGAGAGAACTGGTGAAATGGTTTAGTAAATTTGTGTCTGATTGCAAGAAGAGAACAAAAATCACTACAGCTAAACCAAATGCTTATCAACAGTGGGTTGAAACTGATGATTGGAAGGTTTATGAAAAAAATAAAAAAACTCAATTCATGCAACAATAGATATCTCAGCATATGAGGTATACAAGAAAGGATTAACCAAATCAACAGTTTTTATCTCAAAACCACAAATTCTGATGAATTCAGCTGCTGTTCATTTTGTGGGCCACTATTATAGTACCACAAGAAATGATAAATGGGTGAATATTGTTGAAAATAATCAAAAGTATGAGATTGGACTGAGAAACTTGAAAAGCAATTTGAAAAATGAGGAAATTACAATATCTGAAGGAGAAGAGACAAGAAGTGAAGTTGGATTGCCAATGCCTTGGCGGCATTTTTTACCTCAAATTATTTTAAGTTTGATCCTGTATTATCTAAATCATATTCAGTTGCAGATTGAAGATTATGTCAAACCAATCTTCCCAGGGAAAAGTATAGCTGAATTGAAAAAAATTGCTACTAGGAATTTGTTTGATTGCAACAATAACAGTGAAAAGAAATGGGCATGGATTTCAAGGATTCAAGTACACAAAAAAATCAACTCCCAAGTATTATTTCAACCAACTTCTGAATCAATAATACATGAAATCAAATCTTATCTGAAATTTATGTCTAGAGATGATTTATCTGAAGAACAAAAAAAGAAGATTCAGAACACACCTGGCAAACCTTTTTTGGATAAACTGAACAAGATATTTGATATGATTTGGCAATTGAACAAAACAATGCTTGAATCCATGAGATGTAAAGAATTTGGGACAGATCATATTAATCAGCAAAAAATGGTTCAATTGTCATTCATATCTTGCTTCTCTAAATTCAAAGAAGAATACTCAAAAAATAAAAAGGAATCTTTTGCTTATAAGTTATAAACAAAAACAGAAAGAAACTGTTTGTCTCTTGAATGATATCTTGATTTCAGATGATAATCCAGAGAAATTTAAAGTTCAAAACATAGGTGGAGCAACACATAGTTTCTCAACACTAAACCAAGAAGATTTGATTGTAGCTAAGAGTGCAGTGAATGTACTTGGGTACTATTATAAGAACCAGAATAATCAGAAATGGAATCATATTTTTGAAAATGATGAATATTTTTTCAGATATCTTCTTAAACTGAGCTCAGAGTTATTTCAACACACCACAGCCAGGAACAAAAAAACTTGTACTTATGAAATGTTTGAATCATATAAGATATTTCCATGGAAGAATGAAATTCAAAAAAATATGCCTAAACTCCAACGCAAACTTGGGTCTCATAAAGTGGTCAGCTTAGATAGTTTTGTAATACCAATTCAAAGTAGCAAAAAACCATTGTAAAATGAAGAGGAAGCAAAGATGCTTTCAAGGTGATGAAAGCTGGTTACATATAGTCTCTTTAATCCAGAAAAATCCAATGAGCCTATATCAATTTCCAACACCCCATTTTCTCATGGAAATAGATCTTGATTGTTTGATTTTTTTCATTTGGATCTGTTTCCCAGAATCTCACTTGTGAAATTATCAAATCTACTTTGATTTTTCCCCCGTTTTTCATTCAAACAATCAGTTTGAAAACCCTTTGTGTACACTTCCCACTCCCACCCATCTCAACACACTTCTCCTGGTTGGAGAACCTCCTTTCTCGAGTGTGTACACATTTTTGCTTTGAGGAAGCAGGTAAGCCTTGCCCAAAGGTTTGAAACCAGGCACAGAGATGTACTAATGGCTCCCCAGGGCCAAAAGATGCAGCCACGACCACCTGCAGTTGACTCACAAGTTGGCAAGATCCCCGTTGCACTCGTGCTCCCTCCCCCGCACCCGATCCCGGAAAGCACCAAAAGGACAGTCCGACCAGCCGGGAATCGATAGTGCGATCGTCACCAACAACTACAAACTCCTGATCAACCTTCCACTGTCGCCAGAAGGAACAGCCAGAGCCTCCCAGGACCTGGTCCGTACGATCAAACTACTTGGATGGCCGAATCCACCGCCCCAGATCCTCCGACCCAGGAGGTCAACGGCCAAGAAGCCCCACCGAATCCCCCGGGCGAAACGGGCCCGAATGGTACCGCATCCAGAGTAGATGTGGACCCTGTAATTTTGAGTCGGCTGGAAAACGCTAAAGCCGAATTGGCCATGAATCTTGCCAAGAAAAAGAAGCTGGATAAGGAGCTGGTACGTTCATTATCAGGTCTGGTCGGACTTGCAGACCTTGTCTTAATCTGATTACGACATTGAGTAAGTCTTTGATAGCTGACATGCGTTGGTTCGTTCCATACCGAGAAATTAGGCTGCTTTAGAAGCCACGCTCTACTCGCATGAAACTGCATACCTCACCGACCCATCCGCGAATCTTTTTGGGAATATCGTCAAAGGCTACGAGGCCTATGTGAAAGCGCCGCCTTCGACCAGCATGGCCGGAGACCACCATTCGACAAGGCGGAAGCGCGCGTATACGAACACCATAGGCCCGACAGGCCCCACAGAGATGGTCGGGGATGCCGAACGGATATTCTCCAAAAGTAGCGGCTCCTATGCTCGGGTACCGCTCCTTTTCTCTTTTTTTTTCGATCGTATCCATGCTATTCCCCTCGCTTTTTTTATTGACTTCTGACCGACGTGTTTCTTGGGATAAATCGTAGGCTTTAGAAGTAAGGAGTAAAGAACACGAGTCTGCCGTTACTTCTGAACAAGAATCAGTCGTCCCTACTCTACATCCCACCGAAACGCGTAAAAAGTCAAGATCATAAAATCCTCTTCCTCACTATCTCGCGCCTTCATTACTTGTTACCAGCTCAAATGGTAAGCTTTTTATCCATTATTTCCCTCATCAGGTCTTGGATCCTATTACATCTAAATTTCAGATAATAGAGACGGAGAGTTGTATTTCTGTATTTGGTCTTGATATTTGTAAGATAACTGTAGTTTAAGCATAATTGAGGCTCAGCAATCTCGCATTGCTTCCGGTCATCAAGACCAATTGGAAATATCCGGGTGTGCGATGAAAAAGGATTGGTTTAAGTAACTAACTGTCCTAACTTCTGATTCCCTACTTTACGAAGAGCAGGACGATGCCTCGCGCCGGTAAGACTGTCCAAAAGTTAGTCGCGTTGTTGGCGCAGTGTTGCAAGACAATGTGATTTGTAAGAGACCAAGTTGAAAATAATGTTTCACCAGGATAGGTAGAAACTACCGCCATGAAAAAAGAAAATGAAAAAAACTCCGTAATATAACAATGCATCACATGCAGTCATGTGCAATTAAACAATTTTGAGATGTAAAACATAAATCGGTTTTATTGATCAAGAAGCCAATGCCAATGGTCACTGACGTAGTGCGTGTGATCAAAGGTAAAACCGCATTTACCTTACAAGTACGGCAATTCCTCACAAGACGAATATGTTGTAGTATGTCCTTGCACACAAAAGCCGGTGTCAACCCGCCCCCCAAGACTGAATTTTTGAGGGTACTTTTTTGTACTTCACCACGTTTGTATGGGCAAAGGAACCTTTGATAGTTACCTCAAGGGGTCTTAATTTTGTATGGGTATCAGTTGCCTCAAGAGTGTGTTAGCTACAAATGGAAGTCCGCTCAAACTGGGTTCTGCGTAGCTTGAACACTCTGAAAGTTCGGGGTTCCACAGAACATCAAGGGAATGCAAAGGAACGTATTATCGCTACGGTCGCAGTCCGGTCGCAGTCCGGTCGCAGTCCGGTCGCAGTCCTTATCATGAGCAAGATATTGTACCAATCTTGGTTGGATTGGTTGATATTTGGACAATATTTACATTTCTTGTCTGGTATCTGTGGGCGGCATAAATTGGTGGGTGGTGTGTTGAGAACATTCTGATTGGTCTCTTCTACTGGGCTGCACTGCTTTCTGAATGAGCCCAATCCGAGGAAATACCCTTCAGGATTCTGAGCAACGAGGGATACCTGCAATCCCACTCTGTCCAATCATTTGGAAGAATAGCCAATCAATTCTTTTTTCTAGCGTAAAATGAGCGTAACATGTGATTGGAGGGGGAAGATGAGTATAAAAGATATGAAAAGATGGGTAAAATGAGTGTAAAAATGTGAATAGGTAAGAAGAGCATAAGCATGTTTTAAGAGTTCATCTGGGGAAGTTAATTAGTTCAAGTGTGACAGGGGTTTGCTTGCCGGATCACACACAGCCTACAAAAGTTTTGTTAAATTTTTCAAGGAATCCATTGCCATGCGAAGCTGTCTGGCAAACTCTTTGGCAACACTGACAATTTTGCCTTTCTGATTGGTTTCGGCAATGGCTTGGGCTTCGCCTTCATAAGCATTCAGCATGTGGTCCAACAAGACTCCTGAGCGCGGAAAGTAGGGATCATTGCTGATGACTGCATCGACCAAACTGGGAACCTCATCTTCACGGCCATGGAAGCATTTGAACTGGTTAAAATCTATAATGTAGAGCCCACAGCACTGGGCCCACCAATGGAATCTTGGTCTTTTAGAGCATCGTGAACTAGTTGAGTCCATCTGAACTCTGCTTGGAGCATCAAAGAATTGTCTATTCGTCTGACAGATTTGTAAACAAGCAGGGACTGGGTCGGTGAAGAGAAAAAAAAATTTAGGAATACATACTCAAATGGAAAGAAGATTTCCAAGAATTAGTGGCTTACAGAAGTGCTGGTCAGAACACCACCAAACGTACCACCACCCAACTTAATGATCACTTCACGCATTTCTTTTGTGGAGGTGGAATCAGCGGACATGGAGATGCCGAGTGTGGGGTTTTGTATATGTATGAACAAAGGTATGGAAGATGAGAAACAGAAGTTGGGCAGCTCAGATAAAGAGAGATGGCAAGAGGGGTTTGAAAGAAAGATTAGAAAGGTTGAGGTGTGCGCCTGAGGAAAATTAAGTCACGTCTTGCAAAAGGTGGAAGAGGCTAGAGCTAAAAGGGTCAAGGGTCGATGGCTTGATATCTTAAGAAAGGTGCTGGATGAAGATGATGGAGTAGACAAGCCAGCATAACCCCTTGGCCATGAAACTTGGTTGTTGATACATTCTTGCAATAGCTGGTACTCATTGGAGAAGACATCTGGATTCATCGTCTATGGATAGTCCATGGCATCGACTGCAGTGCTATCCAGTATTTGACTGGACTTACACCACCATGCATCATGGTCTACAACTCATGTTAATTCATTAAGCTGGATGAGCGTTTGCGTGTCCCGTTGATATGATAATAAATGCAAAACTTGCTTCTGAACACCACAGCCAACCAACATTAAGCCAACTTTTGGATCATGAAATGGTGCGGGCTAAAAATTTGACATAACTAGTCAAATGGACATAATGACAAGCAGATTGAGTTGTCAACCGAACTAGATTTTAAATTAGTGATGATGACAAAAGAAAATCAGATTGAAATAATTATGATGCACTACAACAACGAAAATGTATGATCAACATGATTTTCAGGGCACGACAGGCTGAACTCCACGCTATTTATTGAGATGCCAAAATCCAGTTGGTGTGGGCTGTTTGTGGTATTTGACAAGTCATAAACAAATCTGATTTGGAAAACCCAACCTGCTGCTTCAAAGCGCACTGGAGACATCCAACGCAAAACGCAGTTGTGTAACAAAGTCATGCGCAACTGTGAGGATGTCGGCAGTTTTGTTAGGTGCAGCAATAGCTTCAACTTCAGCTATGTAAGAATCTATCATGCCACCGAACAAGATTCCTTGCCGTGGAAAGTAGGGGTCGTTGGTGATAACTGCGTCCACAAGATTGGGAACTTCATCAGCAGCGCCTGAAAAAGTTCGAAATTGGTTGCAGTCTATGACGTGGATTTTAGGTTTTAGTGAATTGTTGGCCATGCCTAAGACTATCTCCAAGTCGCGTCCATCCGTGCCAACAATAAAATGAAGTCGAGCAAGTAGAAATCCCATTGTGTTGGCGTACTCTTCTACTGGTAAGTGAAGCTTCCGTGCTTTTGTTTCAGTTAAGGCGAAATTGTAAGTACTAAAGAATCTCTGGGGTGCAGTCCTAAAACAAACCTGAAGGTCAGCTTCAGTCTGCTCCTATGCCTCAATCTGAATTATGCAGAGGGACAAGAGCTGGAACATACCTTCCGTGAATATCTTGCCGGCCTAAATATATTCTTGCAATGAATGACTTTGAGCGGATGTCCGATTTGACAGCCTCTGGACAAAACATGTCGACGATCTTCTTGCGCAAATTTCTCGGGATAGGATACACACGGTCAGAGATTAGGACTGATGTGACTTCCTGATCACAACCTTCCAGTAAGTCTTCGGTGAACAACTCTGGAATGTTGACAAGGGTGGCTGGGTCTGCTCCATCAATAAACGCCACAGCGCTGGGTGCACCAATGCAGTCATGGTCTTTGAGCGCATTGTGAACTGCTTGGGTCCATCTGAACTCGGCTTTGAGAATCGGGATGTTGCGGGTTCGTCTTACGGCTTTGAATGCGTAGGGTACCTGGTCAAGCAAAAAAACAAGTTTACTTATTGTGATTACTTGTTGGAGGGGTTTAATTAAAATTTGGATGAGTCAGGCTTACATAGGTGGTGGTCAGGACTCGGCCAAAGGTACCGCTACCCAGTTGATATGCATCATCCATTTCCTTGATGGGAGTGAAGGCGTGTGGACAAGGTAGATGGCGACGGCGAGGAGCCAACTAAAAAAACCAAGTTTGAAAATTGTCAGCAAGTTCTAACGTTAACATGGGCAAGTATGAGCATTATTGATTGAGTGTGTGACAGCAGCAGCTGGGAGGGGGAGGGGAGAGGTGGAATGCTGTGTCTTACTATGGCTAACTTGGACCATGTCAAGAGTAGACTACTGAGGTGAAGGAGTACTGAAAGAGCGGGGGGGGATCTCGAGATCAAGCTGCTCAAAGTGAACAGCACAATGGTAGATGGGATATGGGGCAGCTCAGGGGAAGAGGAAGGGTGGTTTTAAAGCCACACAAAGGTGGACACAACGGTGACTGGGCATAACCAAAGGCAAGCCCTGGTTGAAGTGTTTTTAGGGTCAAGTCGGGCCAACTCAGGCTCAGGTTAACTCAAGCTAACTCGGTCTGAGGCCGCCCGGCGCAGGTAAGGGTAACTTTCAAATGTCGCGACACGCTGGATCCTCTCATTCATTTGAAAGCTACCCCAGTGCCAAAAGGGAAGGTAGGTGGTGGTAGTTGGCACATTTCCTTCGGAAGCCTAGGGGATTGCCGTATTCCTCAGGTGCTGAGTCCACTCTCATCCCCTACCAGAAGTGTCAGAACTTGAGATACCCATGTCATGACATTGAGGTGGGCTTAAATATGTAGCTCCCATGCCGGCACAAACTACGGCGGAAGTACAAGTTGACAAAATCCCCGTGTACAAGTTGGCAAAATCCTTTCCTCCCCCGCACCCGATCCCGGGAAGCACCAAAGGTCCAAAAGGACAGTCTGACCAGACGGGGGTCGTCACAAAGAACTACAAACTCCCGAAACGCGTAAAAAATCAAGATCTAAAATCCTATTCCTCACTATCACGCGCCTTCATTAATTGTTACCAGCTCAAATGATAAGCTTTTTCTCCATGATTTCCCTTCGATTGTGTGATCGCGTCTTCAATCCTATTATATCTAAATTTCAGACAATAGAGATGGGTACTTGTATTTCTGTATTTGAATTCTTGGTTATTGTAAGATAACTGTAGTTCGAGCATAAATGATGCTTAGCAAGCCCCCACTCCAGTCTCCAGATCGCACACCGGTGACATGGGATAATCCCTAACTTAGCTAAGCCCCTGCCCTCCTTTGTCGGAGTGGTAAACCAATTGTCGCATTGCGCCGACCGCAGGGAGGGACTTACGTGGAAAAGCGACCCCGCGACTGAAAGCATTAGAAAATTTGGCGGGGAAAATCTTGTAATCATCCCTACTCCATTTTGTATGATTGAATTTTCCAAATTTTGTGATTTTCTTGATCGCCTCGCTGGTCTCTATCTTTCTAGACCCTCCCGGTGTTGCCAGCTCATCAGCATGATAGCCAATCACTCTTTTCATGTCTCTTGGGGTCATGGAAGATGGCCTTTGTATCTTCCGGCCGATCGGCGCAATGCGACAAGTGGTTTACCACTCCGACAAAGGAGGGCAGGGGCTTAGCTAAGTTAGTAGCTGTCCTAACTTCTGATTCCTTATTTTACGAACGGCAGGTAAAAGCCTCTTGTTGGTAAGACTGCCGCAAAGTTAGTCGTGCTGTTGGTGCAGTGTTGCAAGACAACGTGATTTGTAAGAGACCAAGTTGAAAATGATGTCTCACCAGGATAGCTATAAGAAACCACCACCAGGAAAACAGCCCATAAAATAACAATGCATCACATGCAGTCATGTGCAATACATGCAATTTTCAGATGTGAAACATAAATCAGTCGTATTCAACAAGTCAATGGTCACTGATGTAGTGGCGTGGGCGTGATCAAAGTGTTGAGGAGTAATTAGTTACGTGAGATGTAGAGTGTCACGTGGGGTTGTCAAGATTGATGCGGGAGGAGATTAGGTAATCAAGTTGGGGTTGTGTGTTGTCGTCTCGTCGGTGTTTTTCAAATGGTGTGATTCTCTTATTTCATTTACTCAAACTCGTCAAGAAGAGAAGATCACGCTGTTCGGAACCCTCAGATCAAACGAGTAGAAGAGTAAAGGTACTC